AAGCTCTTCGCTCCAGCGACTTCTAGCTCAGAAGATAAGGTGACTGCTGCAGAACTTGGCACCATATTCCACGGCATCAAGCACGACTACAGTTACCTGTCAATGGATTGTGGCAGCAAGTTAGCGTCAAAAGTCTTCCCGGATTCAGACGTCGCTTGCAGAATGCGACTTGGAAGAACGAAGATGGAACACCTCATGAAAGATGAGCTGGCGCCTTATGCAGTGGAGTGCATAGTCGAGAAACTTCGCCTGCAGCAGGCCGCAACGTCCCGTTTGCTCTCTCCATGGGATCTCTCCAACAAATGAAGTAGAAAACTTTTCCCCATTGCCGTGCGCTTCTCTGACGTGAATGGTGCCGGAGTAACGGACGCTCTCATTAACTTTTGTTGAGCAGGCGGACGAGATTTCCGGAGGCATCTGCAAACTCTTGGCAACAAGTTTGGAGATGGTGGGTCTTCCTTTAGAGCGAGCTGTAGCGTATAGCGTGGATAACGCTTCTCTGAATTATGGAAAACACAACTCCATTTTCCAGAAGATGCAGAAAGATCAGCCAAACTTGTTAAAGGCCAATTTTAATTGTCATGTAGTGCACAATACTGCCAAGCATACAGTGAAGTCTTTACAGTTTGATGTGGAAACCCTTGTACTAAAGGTCTTCAAAGAGTTTTCTTCTAGTTCGAAATGTGTAGAGGAATTGAAAACATTTTTTGACTTCTGTGATCAGGAATATAGCAAAGTGCTGGGTCATATGTCTGTCCGTTGGTTAAGCTTGTTTACGGCCTTAGACAGACTGATTAAGAACTGGGCTCCCATCAAGTCCTACTTTCTGAGTCAGGGCGAGGAGGACTGCGAAAAAATAATCTGGATATTTATTGGCAACCAAGCCGATGGACTTCCAGAGTGTATCATGCTTCCGGAGTGCTACCTGCACTTCATGCACTCGTTCCTTGCAATGTTCCATTCTACAATCCTCACCCTCGAAAAGAGTCACCTTGAGCCGACAGAACTTTACGCTGTAATGTCTAAGCTCAGGAAGCAGCTGATTAACCGGAAGGATGATATGTTCTTTGATGTCAAGGCTGATCAGGGACTTGAAATCTTTCTGGGCAGACAGGCTGCAACGCTGGACTTCGTGAATGTTTATGACAGGGCCCTTGTGTACCTTGGAAAGTGGTTTGACTTCGAGAATTTCCCATTTAAGAGGCTCGCAAAATTGGATCTGCGCAAAGGTGCACCCAGCAGGTCAGTCGTAATGAATGCGGGGGAGCTTTTTGGCATTAACTTTGAAGAGGAAGGCGATGAATTGTACTCGGAGCTTTGTCTTTTGAGGGATACTCTCCCTGGACTTCTAGGACATGACGAGAAATCAAGCTCGAGCTGGCTCAAATTCTTGAAAGAGGTCAGGTGCCCCCATTTGCAGAACCTAATGGAGCATGTTTTCTCCATTCCCTGCAGCAACGCGTTTGTGGAACGTGTCTTTAGCGTGATGGGGAACTTGTGGACGGATGAGAGAAATCACCTAAGTGTCCCAATGGTTAAAGCGGAGCCCTCTGTGCGGTATAATTTGGTGTACAGCTGTGAAGACTTTCTAAAGATGGCGAGAGAAAACAAGCAGCTCATCCGAGCAGCTAAGTCGAATTCGAAATATACGTTCAACTTCTGCAAATTGAAAAAGGCGAGCATAAAAAATGTTACCTTTTTTGTTTTTCTGCATTGTTTTGTGTATTGCATATTATTGCGCGTGTATGTATATATGATAATATCCGAGACATTGTGGCATATGCACTGTATACTTTTTAACGGACGTAATATGCCACTGGTTTGGTAAATTTAGTCGCGAAGAGGATTTTATGGACGAAGTATGTGCGGTTATATTTCAGTGCCGCACATGGGGAGCCAGTGATTGCAATTTCTCGAAAGGGGTCTGCGAGTGGCGAGGCAGCATGTTACCTTTTTTTCTGTTGGTAGTATGTTGTTTTTAGAGCTGTCATAAGCGGTTATGTGATTTTAGTATTTTTGTATCTGTAGTATGTTGTTTGTGTCACAAGACGTTGTGTGAATTTTTGTATTTTCTTTAACACAGATTAAGAAATGTTTTATTTCAAAGAGGGGTTTTTGATTATTTGATTACATAGAGTATTCTCCCCTTTGTACATAGCTAATGTGTGCATGTGGTTTTCTGTTGTACTGCTAAAGTGGAGACGGGCCCCAGACTTTGTCAAGCTGCCTCTGGCAACTTTTTGTTTGGGCCCCCCCTCTGTCGGAGGGCCGTTTTTTTTTTTTTCTGGGAAAGGTGGCAGCCCTACCCTGCAGTCATATTTAAGCCTCTACCTTTTTTGGGGTTTCCACGTCTCTTGGGGTTCGGGCAAGCCAGCGAGCACGGAGAGAGTAACTAAATATCAGTGCGTCCTATTTTAACCGGACAACGCGGAAACCTCTTCCACCAACGGGGCCGACCCGCAGTGCCGAAAGCACGCAAAATGTGAAGTCTTTGGTCGGTGGGCTAACCACTGGTCAGAGCCGCTAAAAGCTTCTTTTTAGTCGAAATACAAAATATAAGTGGCACGAACGGTTTCCATTATATATAAAAGTAGTTTTTGTTCAGTATTTTAGATAAGAAAAGAAACAGATGCAGTTTATAAAGTACGGAAACAAGAAAAGACCCGTCGACATACCCGCCACTAAGCGGTGGAAAAGGCGGTGCATACTAGAAAGGAGTAGTGGGATCAGGCACTGACGAGCGGCGAGCGTAGAAAGGTCCCGGATGTACGCGGCGGCGCTGTGGTCGTATACGGACTCGAGGATTCGACCTGTTCTGAGCGTTCCAAAGGCCTTCGGCGAGAAGGCTTGACTTGCGGTTTGGTCGTTTGGCGGTATGGCAGCGCGAAGTGGCTCCCGTTCTGAACTGATCTTTACCCCGTGTTTGCTGTTGTTTGTGGCCAATGAAGTGTCATGCCGAATTAGTGTTTAATCGTGCAGCAAATGCAATGCGAGCTGCCCTAGCTGCTTCCTTCATACAGCCTATCCAGAACATGCTTTAGTGGCACCCTCTCGAGCCGTCGACACAGAGTGCGGCAGCCCTGAGCGCTCGCTGAGCACTCTAGTTCACAGCCGCTCAAGCGACTAAGGACGTCATGAAGGAGGTTATTTTTCGCTTGTTTTTGTCATATTAATTTGCCTATAGCTTTTACAATAAAGCGAATTTTGAGAAAAGAAAAGTTTCATTAGGTTACTGCGTTCAGTGCGCTCAGGTTCGGTGCAAATTAATGACGAGTAAAAAAGTCCTTGCATGGCCCTCTTCACCCTTTGACGGTCGTCACCGTACCTGTACGGTGGTGATTAAACATTTGAAAGTGTCCGCCTAAATGTGAAACTTTGCGCACCGCGCAAAGTTTCGCATGTATTGTTAAGTAAAGTTTTGCTATGTATTTGTTATGTCTTTGATGAACTATGACCGTTATATTCTCACAATGTTTTGCTTTTCTGATCTATTTAGTTTTCAAATTAGATGCTCCGCGCACGTGATGTTCACTTTTGCTTACCGGCCGCTTTGGCGGTAGTGCCAATGGGAACACTGATTCTTCCGATACAGACTTCTATTGCGTTTTTGGAATTAAATTCGGAGGATGAGGTTTATCCGCCGACAGAGAGGCTCTATAGAGCACCTCTGGCTACGAATCTGAAGCCGCTGGAATGTTGCGGTAGCAGATGTGCCAAAATGAAACCAAATGGAAGAAAGGTGACGGCTTTTCACTGTCAATATTTTAATTTGATGCTTCTAGATCTAAACAGCTTGCAAGCGCTGTACGTGCTCCAGCTAGATGATCAAGAAAGAATCTGCACATTGGCCAAAGTCTTTACACTATTCCTTTGGAGACAAAACCCAACCACCGAGAAACATCTTGAAAAACAGCGCGAATATCACACGGACAAGAAGGAGGAACACACAGGACGAGGCGCTGACTATCAACTGTCTATTAGCACACATACATAGAACTTCATGCGAGGTCGGCTTCTTCTTTTCCTCTTCCAGTCATTCGCCATTCAACACGCACCATTGTAAATCATATCAAATTAAAACACACGAGTACATTAAAAACACACCATCACAGGTATAAGTCATCGCGTGTTCCTCTTTTCTTCTTTCTTGGATCTTCAATCTTGATCTTCAATTCTCAGGTCAACCCATGTCCAAAAAAATTACCTCACTGTCCACTAGGCTAATGGATGGTTGGCTCACGCACCCGGGTTTTCGTTTTGCTATATGATAAGCTTTTACTAGCTCCCTCGATAGCTGATCCTTGTGTTTAAAGAGCACTTTTGTGTCACCAAATTTTGGCTCACATCCACAATCACGGCAGTGGACAGCTAAATGGGAGTATGCGTTACCTTTTAATGAACTGTGGTGTTCGCGTAGACGAATGTTGAGGCAACGTCCCGTCTGACCTATATATGAGTGACCGCATGAGAAAGGTATTTCATAAACTGTCCCCTGTGCACAGGGCACGAACTTCATGCCATGCTTGACGTGACATCCGAACAGTTCTGGCTTACTTTTCCTGTCAGCACGCTTATTAACCATGTTTATAATTCTACTCAGTTCGTTACGCGCTGAAAAAAAAAACCTGCGTTAAAGGCCTGCGTTGAAGCAGGCCTTTAACGCAGGCCTGCTTTAAAGGCCTGCGTTAAAGGCCGATGTGCAAAAGATTTTTCCACCAGGATGAAAAGTCCTCCTTGCCACCCTTCCCATTTCCCCCTCCCCCACTGCTGCCTTGACGGCGGGTAACTTTTTTTGTTGCTGCATCTCTGGACCAGATAAGCCAGTAGCTTATTCCAGCTCATCCAGTCCCAAGATGCAGCAACAAAAGGAGTCTCCCCCCGGCATCAAGTTTAGAGTGGAAGAGGGAAAATGGAAAGGGTGGTGAGAAGGATTTTTTCCCTGGTTGAAAAATATTTTGCGGGTCGGCCTTTAAAAGATGCCTTGTTTCTTAATTAACCAGATCTCCTCGCAGCATCCTGCACAAAGGATATGCGGTCCTCGTCCACCAGATCAACTGCTGGATGCTGCATGGGATGCTGCGTGACCCCTACGCGGAGTTCTTTGTCCACCGCCTCTCCGAGGGCTCCAGCCCCTGCAAGGCTGTTGGGAGCTCGAACCCCAGCTCCGTCCGACCTGCCCCATCCAAGGTGCCTCATCCGGCTCCCTTCTTCTTCGGAGCTGTTGCTCTGTCAATGTTCGGGGTGCGGTGAACGGATTGTGTACCGGCGGGCATTGCGTAATCATCCAAGCCGGTTCGCACACTTGCGTCACCTGTTGGTAGCCCCGATAGCTGGCTGATAGGACAAGATAAAATCTCGTACAAATCTGCGAGAAATGCTTGCTTTTTAGCATCGTCAGAATTATTTAGAGCCCGTACGGTGAACGAACAGGGCGTAAAATATTAATAAATGCATTATTACAAAGATCGAAAGCTTTCCAGGACTGCCTGACAACGAAACAGTGCACCCAACGAATATGGCGCTTCTTCTCCGCAGGGTGGCGTCGGCTCGTTTTGAAGTTTTTGTGCGTGCGTGCACAAAGATGAACTCTGCATTAAAATTTGTTTAAAAGTTTAAAAAAAGTCAAACCTGGTTGAACTCGAACGTCGGCGGGTTCACAACACTCCCAGTTGTGGGGGCCGGTTCACGCACTATGGTTTGGCTGGGCTAGGGTGCAGTGCATTCTCTCGTAACTGCTTACAACCAGAGAACATGCTGGAACACTAGTGCCATCCATTAGGTATTTTCCAAACCGCACATAACTAGACCTCAGGTTTTGCAGTACGGTCTACGCTCATTATAACAGACCTGGTTACAACAGACATTTGGATATAACATACCGATTTGTGAAGTTTGGTTGGTTTCCCTCTATGCACCATTGACTCAACTTCATATCTGCATACAACATACTCCTCTTACAACAGACCGAAATCTTGGTCAAAATCAAGGTCTGTTATAATGAGCTTAGACTGTATTTGCAGGATCATATCTATGTATTGTTTATGCAAAGTGTTTGCTTATAATGTTATGAGAAAACCCACAGTGAAAGAATGATGCGTAAAGAATTATAAAAAAGTATATACACCGATAAAAAATTGTTTCAAGTCTACCCAATAGATATTGCCTGTGTTCTCTCATAAGCATTGACAAGAGAATGCAATGCACTGGAGCGCAGCCAAACTCGAGTGCGTGAATCGGCCTTTACACCGGTGGTTCTCCACCACCAATGATTCGGAGGACCCCTTCTGGATCGGCAGAAGTGATGGAACACTCCATCCGACGGGGGGCGATTACAACGACAAAAGGACAAACTAAGAAAACTGAATGTATGCAAACTAACTTGGAGGCTCTCGAACGGAGAATAATCAAGCCTGCTCACTCGGCGCACATGGTTTGGTCTGGTATTTAGCTCTGTGGGATAGCCAGCATCAATAAAAAAAAAAGATTTGTTAACGTCGAGAGTTGGGCTAGTTGGTATTCCTTGATCGCAATGTAGAAACGTCTCAAGAAACACGGACGGAGCAGAAGAAGCACGCAAACAGGTTAAACCCTGACTCGCAACTGAAGTTTTTATTCCTTGAAACAGAAAGGACGAAAAATAAATTGAGCTTCACTTATGCGCTGGTTCCCGAAAGGGATAATGTGAAAAGCATTGAGCACTTCTCTTGTCATACTAAATTTGTTTTTCTTCCAAAAATAGTGGCGTCGCCAGAGGACAGTTTATATGGGTTACTAAACGGAACGTTGGAACTAACGCAGGAAGGTCCCGACGTAAAAGAAATAAACTGAACTAACGTTGAGAGTTGGGCTCTTAGAAATAAACTAAGTAACGTCGAAGTAATGTCCTTCGGCGACGCTACTGTTTTAGGAAGAAACAAAAATAGAATGATGAGAGAAGTTCTCGAGGCTCTTCACATTATCACTCTGGGAGACCAGTACATAAGTGAAGCATTCATAGTGCCTTCGAGAAAGGAAGCTGGATTTTTGTGCACGAGAGTGAGGTGGCCATGTGGTGATGCAACGACTATGGGGGTGATGAAGCGAGAGGTTTGACACATGTCTGACGGGTAGTGCCTGTTTTGTCCCTCCTTCGTTTTTCATCCTTTCTGTTTCAGGAAACAGAAACTTCATTTGCAAGTCGGCGTTCGTCACATGTGCACATTTCTTCTGCTCCGTCCGTGTCTTTTGTGCTCGTTCTACATTCATTTATTTGTTCATTTATTTTAACCCTAAATGCCTTTTCGGGTATTACATAAGGGGAATGTGATACAAAAATTGCTACGACTGAACCACATGGTGACTAAGATAAAAAAAATAAATAAAGGTGCAAAGCATAAATTGAAGGCAGAAAGCATTTGGCGCAATTATGGCCTTCTCTTGCTCGGCTTGGCTGACAGTTGAAGGCCTCGAGGACCCTAAAAAGGCTTTAATGACCCCGAAAGGTCTGTGGACCCCCATTTGAGAATCACTACTTTACATGGTCTGTCGCTCTCAAACGTAAATGTTTAAACCAGCCTTTCCAGACCGTGTGTCCAGCGTCGGTCCTGCTTTCCTAATCTCGATTTTCCTCTTTTTCGGTGACCAGGTGTCCCTGGAGTCGATGGACAACTTTGGCCTAGAGCCGCGCCTGTTGCCGGACCAGCTCTCGGCGTCCCTGGCCAAGAAGGTGCTGTTTGCCGGCTCCGTCGTCTGCGTCTTTGGACCCTCGATGGGTGAGCCTTGCTCGAGGTCGTGCTTTGGCACCACGGTAAAAATGGTGTTGCACCAAAGGTGCGCACTATACTTCGTTTTATCTTGTGGCGGATGCTACGAGCCATCCCAGTCTATCCAATGCCTGTGAACCGATGAGATGATTACGCACCCCGCATGTTGCTGCGCCCTTCCTAAAGGTGATGCGACTCTCGTAAATAAATGTATATTGGATTCTCCGCGGTCCATCTAGTGTTCTCCGCGCTTCATCATAAGGTGAAACACAGTATGGTTGTGGCAAGCCACTCTCTGTCACTACAGTAAACTCTCGTTAACTCGGTCATAAAAGCAAAAAAATTTGAGGTAAGTTATTGCGGACACATTAGAAATAATCTTGTTGCAGAAACGCAGCCAAATCATCAACAAACAACACTCATAAAATGAGACAGCAAAGGCAAAAAGCAAGAACACAAAAAAAGAAGAAAACCGAAAGAACTCTTTCCTCCTCCCCCCCCAAAAGAAAGAATGAAAGAAGACGAAGACTGGAAGATAACGTTGAAATTGATCGGGGAGAAAAAAAAAATGTAAGACAATGAGCGTCCTTGAACTGCGCACTGCTCCACACGTGGCCGCGCTCGTAACGTGGAACTTTTTTTTCCATTTTGTGTGTGCAATAATGCATAATTTAAAAAATATTATAACCTTTTTTCTGTGTTTGTTTTGGATTGTTGTTTCTTTGTCAAACAATGTTTAGGCCACTAGTTCAATATTTGCTGTGCCCTGCCTGTTGTCTTTCTTTTATGTTTTTTTTTGGGGGGGTTGTAATATTTGTTGTCAAGATTTTGAGATATCCGAGGTTGGGTCCAAAAAGCTCTTCGAGATAAGTGATAAGTAAATGCGTTGTGCCTATAGGAGTTCATTTCATGACAAGGAAATCTTTTGATCTTACAGATAATTCGAGATAGCCAAGTTTGAGTTTATGAGGAATAACTAACGTGCTTGGAAAGTTTCTTTTAATCAACGAGTTTCGGGTGTCGTAAAATTTAGATTCTACGAGTTTTGTTACTTTGATTTGCTTACAACCCGAGAAATGTATTGTACAATGTGTCATCACCACCATTGCCATAAAAACAAGAGTGAGAGCGAGTCTAAGCCCCCGGATTATTGATTTGCGGTTGTTGTGCGGGAAAAAAAAAAAGGGTGGGTTTCTGCTGTGCTCCATTGCAGTCTTCGTCGAGATGCGACAGAATTGCGACGTTTCTTTCATGAAAGGCATTTTGATGACAATGTCTCATTTGGGGGAACCGACGCTACCCAACGCCACTTTTGATCTCAGGCCAGTCCCTCTATGGCGACCAAGAAGCCATCTTTGTGGACCGCATGCACGCTCTTAGAGAGAAGCCAGAGCTGGACCTGCTCGAGCTGGAGGCCTTCGTGGAGGACGTCCGATCCGTCGCAGCCACCGTGAGCAGCGTTTCTCGTCTATGCTTGCTTGGGTCCTAGGGGTGGCCGAAGATTCGAAATTTCGTTAACATAGCAGCTCGGGCGAATTGGTTGCTCATATTAGGACAGACTACAGCGCACTATTGCAAACGTACACTCGCTCCTTACACACAAAAAACAAAGCAAAATTTTAGGTAGGAACAGTTACCAATTACCTAGAGAAATTATTGAAGCCGAACATATCGCCAGGAATTATGAAAACTGTATTAGTACACCATCTTTAAACCTCACAGAAAAAGAGAAAAATTTTTTAGGCGTCTAGGAGATTGGTGCGCGTGATTCGGGAAATTCGGTAGTGCCAGAGGTAGAGGAAGACAATAAAAACGAGTTGTCAGTCAGCGCGGTTCGTTTGAATTTTGCTTTCTTTTTCGTGTGTAAGGAGTGAGTGTACGTTTGCAATAGTGCACTGTAGTGTGTGTCAAAGTTTTGAATACAAATCAAATATTCTAAATTTCAATATTGGTATTTGTTTCATAAACCACACTTGCGACCGCTTAGAACCCTCTGAACCGTTTGCATCGCTGTCTTCGCGCAACGCAGCAGAGGCTGGTTGCACTATTTCTCCACTGGGCACGGTGCCGTCGAGGCCGAGATGCGCTCCAATTGCAAACCGAAACTTAAAAACCCGTCCAATTCGTGCAATTTTTTATAAAGCCGTAAAATATTGCGCGTGTCTTCTATCATTCTGCAATTTGTTGATTTAGTGTTTTTCGATGATGCTGAGCAATTTTCTAATTGAAACCATGCCCTTAAACACAATATTAAAAAAGTTTTTTACGACAAGTAGTTTTCGGAATATCGAATTTGTCCATCTTTCGTGAAACACCCCATATATGCCACATGCTTTGGTCACATGGTCCCAGGTCATCCATTCAACTTACCTATATATTGTCATGATAGAGCATTTTCTTTTTATTCGTGACAATATACTACATGCTTTGGTCACGCGGTTGTATGGTAAATTTCCACGCTGAATTCAAAATACAGTGTAGACCGCATATGACGTATGTCGCAGGAGTCGCGAAAATCCGCACTATAAGCGGTACCGCGCTATAACCAAAACATCAATTTTTCAGGCCAAAATACATGCCATGAGGCAACTTACCTTTGTAAAACAATTTATTTTATATTAGATGAAAAATAAAGCTTAGTTTGAGGAAAGTTTTTATTTCACCAGACTAGTACACTTCTCTCTCAAGTGTGTCACACATTTTAAAAGAAATGAGCGACTTTTGCCTGGCGCAGCCTTTTAACGGCGTCGCGGGTTGCAGACGGACGTTGCGAGCATTCAGGATTGCTAACCCTAATTACTTTTCTCCGGCGATGAAAACGCGTGAAAATTCGCATCCTTTATACGGTATGCGCCAGTAATACCTTCAACTTGAGCACACGCACGAAATGCTCCAAATAAGAAATCCGGGCAATGTTCGAAAACACAAGTGCTTAGAAAGTACCACTGTAGTCGAAGTAAACAAACACGACGACACGGGCGTTTCTGCCGTTTTGAGAGTGCCGCCACGACATTGCCGCACGAGTAGGTGGATCTTCCCTTCTAGTACGTGATGGGTTATCGTAGCGACACACAACAAATATTCACAGTCAAGGATAGCGTTTTTACGCGGAACGATGAGCTTCCACCACGCTGTCTACGTCGACGATCACAACCGACACCATGTTTGTAGATAGAAGAAGCCGGCCCGCGACCGGCATGCAACGCAAGAGCAAACACTTCTCCTCGACCTGCGATTGGTCTGTCGTTGCGGTTGTTTCCAATGCAGCGGACGGACGCACGCAAGTGAATGACACGTGCGTGCGTCCCTCCGTCGCTATGGCAACTGAAGCCTCTCTCTTTGCTTCTCCCTGCTTTTTCGAGCAACCTCCTTGCCCCGCGAGTGCCACTTGCGGCTAGCGCCGTTATCTAGTGTTGCACAGGGAAGCGTGCTCGCTGTGCCGGTTGGTCTGCGCGGTCGGCGGGCTGTTCCAGAAATCGCACTATAACCGGTATTTCCCTTCGCGCGCCTGCATTTTAAGTGGTATGTAATTACATGGAGTTCTATGGGAGGCGAACCGGTGGTTTAAAAGAACCGCATTATACCCGGTCCTGCACTATAAGCGGTTACGTTGCAAGTGGTCTATACTGTACACTACAATGTGCTGTTATTATGGGCTGCATATGGCCCCTACCATAAGAGAATAAAGTTAACCTTTTAATGATCTAGTGTTTTTTTTTTTTTAAAAGATGTTTGCCAGTGGTCGGATTTTGTTTCCACAGGTATTGTCTAAAAGGAAGGTCAGTGCCCAGGTTTTGTCTGAAGTATTTAGTGGGTGAACATACAGTGCTTGCAATCTGTTAAAGGAGTACTGCAGTTGTTTTTTGGGCCACCCAAACAAATTGAATTTTCTGAATACCTGGCCTTCAGTCTTCACGGTATGCTGTTCATTGCCTCGAAATTCAAAATAGCTACAGAGAAGACCATAAATGGTCGTCTCTGTAGCTCTCTCGTGGTGTGACATCACAAATGGTAGAGACTTTTGGGTCGGGCAGGTAGTCTTGAACAGTGTACGTCGAACATTTTTCTTCTTCTCAGTGAATGAGCTTCCAAGAATTCTTTTCCTGCCAACAAACTTCTAGTCAGTTGGGAACGTGGTTTACTGTTCGCTTTGTACCATTTTCGTCGTCACACTTGAGCGTTTTCATCGTCATACTTCAGGATGAGAAACACAATGAGTGCAAAATTAAAAAATTCAATAACTTAGCAAGCTTTTTTTGTGACACAATACTTGGGGCATTGGTTCAGCTGTGTATATCGGTGTGTTGAGTCAATTTCGAGACAAATCAGCGCCCATGAAAAGTCGCTGGAGTACCCCTGTAAGGTTTAGAAATGTCAAATGGAAATATTGAAGGCAAACAGTTCTTTCCTCTCTTCCATCCGGTTTCATTTCGGTGTGTTCGCTTCCGCAATATTCCGGCGGTTTCAGGTTTCGAACTGGAGGCACCTTGCAGAACTTCTCCATCGGATGGTTAGCCCTCATCCTCCGAGTTCAATTCCGAGAAGCGTTAAAAGGGAGAAGTGTATCAAGTGCATGGAGGCCATTACTTCAAAAGTGTAAATAGCGAAACCCCCTGCAAACTTGCTGTTTATAGTTGGCCCAAGACAAAACAAATAGTAGCAACACCTCCCATGGTGCACACGGTTTGGTGTTTAGGCGGGCACCTTGAAATGTGTCATTGCCGCCGTACATGTTTGGCGACAACTGTCAAAGCGTCAAAGATGTGTTCTGGATATCATGGATGAAGAAAGAATAAAACAATTAAAACAGGGACAACACAACCACATCTTTCAACTAGCAACAGACGAGCAAACTTTCAACAGAGCGAGCAGCCGACTATACCCAGGAGGGGAAGAGGGGAGAAGGTCCCAGTGATGTGATTGCTGCGCTGATTGCGCCAAACTGCACTAAGGGGCTAACCCTGCTACATCCTGCTACTTTTTGTCAAGATATGGGTAATCTGCGCCAAGCCTGCACCAAAGAACCAGTCTTGGTCGCCTTTCAAAACCGAAACTAAACTGAGTGCCGTAATTGATCATGCGTGAGCTAGGTAGCGCTAGCGGCCGTCCGAAAGAATGTACCCTACACCAATCGTCCATCCGGTCCTTGCATGGTTTTTCCCGCCGTCTCTTGTTTCGTGCTCTCGCCGTCTCGTAGGTCTCGTCTCGCGGCTTTCTAAAAATTTCTCAGCACGTGCCGCTGAACTGTTTTGGCTGAAGAGTTACATTTTGCATACAATTTTGGGAACCTGTTGGCGACCGAGCAGAGTGGCATGGTTTCCGTTTCGATGGAACAGCCATCTCCGCTCGCGCGACGAAGCACGTGCAACTGCAAGCCTGCCGAAGTTGCCCTGATGTGCATGCGAACATTGTGGTTCTCCTTAGGGCCACTGCCTTTGGGAGTACCACGTTCGCGGCGAGACGCTCTACCGCGAAGCGGGTTCGCACTCGCGTGGCATGCTACTCGTCGAGCGCAATGAGACACCAGTCATGTTGGTAACGGTGATAAACTGTTTATTTACAATGAAACAAAATAACAACAACACAGCGGCTATAAGCTGGTGAACGCCGTCGGTGTGAAGATCGCCCACGGCCGAACGGTCGTTCACAAATGTACAAAGGACGGGGTAAACGCTCACCGGTGCGCCGGAAGGTTCCCCGTTGTCGCCGCCGCCGAATCCCAGGAAGAAGACAGAAGCGAGACTGCTGTCCGCTGGTTTTAAGATAACGGCGGGGGCGAAGTGGCCAATCAAGGAGCGACACGTCGATCTCCTTTGTGCGGGGGTTCGTTACGGGAATCGCCCCAAGGGGGGAGAGGAGGAAGCCACTCACAGTGGTAAGCAGCGCCACCTCTCGCTACGCCAGCGCGGCTGCCACGGCGCGCCAAAACGCTGACGCGACAGAATGTTGAGGGATCACAATCCCCACACTCCCCCCTCCTTAGCCAATAGTCACCCGCAAACGGGTCGACCGACACAAACACACAACAAGACTAAAAAAATAAAAAAAGAGAAAAAGGCCGCCAGCGGCTGCAAATACACGGGAAACAACAGCCCGGCTCACACGTTCAAGGTCCAAGAGTTCGTCCAACGGTCCCTCACCAGCGGTACAGCCTACAGCTCTCAGCGGCAGTCGGTCCGCTGCGTCATCCTGTGACGGTCACGCACGTAGCGGGTCACCTCCTGAGCGCCCAGGCCGGGGTAGGGCGTCGAGCCCAAAGTGACGATGTCCCGCGGCAGCATTCCGTCGAACGCTCAGACGTCGGACTTGAAGGGCGCCCTTGGACTTTTGGTAGTAGACGTCCGTCTCGGGGCCCCAGTGCTCCTGGAGAGTTTGAAGTCGGCAACCCAGCAGCCGTGTCCGTCGACGAGCACGTTCCCGGCGACCAGGTCCCGGTGGATTATTCCTCGG